TTTTGGTAGGGGTAAAATTTCAGAAGCTGTAACGCATAGCCCAGCAGAAAATTTCGAGGGGCTTGCTTGTGTATTGCAGCAAAAAAATAAAAATTAATTCATTAGAAGCACCCTGTGTTTACTTGCTATTGCAAATGGTTGCATACATTTAAGCATATGCAGAATAAAGGAAATGCGGTACAAACGATTATTACTTCCGGTTATGCAAACTCCGGGCATGCATACTGCTTTGTACCTATATGGATACATACTTAAGTTTGTGTGTACATTCATTTGATGCAAGTGGTTTTGATATTCGTAGCATGGTTTTAGGCATAGGTTTATGTAGCCTATTGATAAAAAGGCAAAACCAAAATTACAAAAAACAAGTAAGAGCAGCGCTGTCTTCGGCTATGCCGAAGGCTTCATACCTTTCATGAACATCTGCAAATTTTACTTTGACAGATTACTGCTTTTGAATACATCTGCATACATCGATAGAGGAGTTACATACTTATATAAAAAATCGCATCTAAACAATCAGAGGTATGGAAGATATACTTTATATGGCACCAATCTAAGTGATTTTCACTGCTATGTGATCGGTATGTAAACCGGTAACACAATTTATTGGGTTTAGTTTCCTACATAAAGGAGATATATCGCAAAAACTGGTATCTTAACAATCAGTGCTATAGGAGATAAACTTATACAGCATAGATTTTGACGATTTTCTCAGTAGACTTTGTATTATTATTTATAAAATATCTTACGAAATTTATCGGTTTTAGCTGTTCAAATAAAGGAGTTTTACAGTAAAATCCCATATCTGAACAATCAGATGTATGGAAGATATATGTTGTAGTCATCCGATCCTTGTTATTTTCACTGTAAGTATTCTGTTAATAATGAGTGAAAATGGTGCGAAATTTCATGTTCGTAGCTGCATAAATGGAGGAGTTATGATAAAAGACCTCATATCTGAACAATCAGTTGTATGGGGGCTGCAGGTTATAGTAACCCGATCTTTGTTATTTACGCTGTAAGTCTTCTGTTGATAATGAGTGAAAACAGCGCGAAATTTCATGGTCCTAGCTACATAAATGGAATAGAATTATAACGAAAAATCTCATATCTGAACAATCAGTTGTATGGGAGCTATAGGTTATAGTTACCCGATCTTTTTAATTTTCACTGTAAGTTTTCCGTTGATAATTATTGAAAACAGTGCGGAATTTCATGTTCCTAGCTATATAAATGGATAAGTTATAACGCAAAATATTATATCTGAACAATCAGTTGTATGGGAGCTATAGGTTATAGTGACCCGATCTTTGTAATTTTCACTGTAAGTATTCTGTTGATAATGGGTGCAAGTATTGCAAAATTTCATGTTCGTAGCTGCATAAATGGAGAAGTTATAATGAAAAATCTCATATCTGAACAATCAGTTGTATGGGAGCTATATGTTATAGTGGTCCGATTCTTCCGATCCGACAAATGATTAATACATTATAAAAATACACCCACCTACCAAATTTGATCCGGATATCTCGAAAACTGAGAGACTAGATTGCATACAAACAGACAGACAGACGGACAGACGGACATGGCTAAATCAACTCAGCTCGACGTTCTGATCATATAAGTATACATTTTCATGGGTCTATCTCTTTTTGTTCTGGTACTTACAAACATCGGACCAAAGTTATAATACCATTTCATGCTCATGAAAGGTATAAAAATACTGAAATAATTTTAACTGGAACCGTTGATAACTGATAAACATACATGAATATATGTATATATACATATATACATGGATGATATAATAGCTCTGATCTAATACTTTTCGTGTAAAATCCTGTAAAAATGTCAAAAAGCAAAACACTCTCTGAAGTGAGAGTAAAAAGTGAGTAACAGCAACATGGCTTTGGAGTACGGGATCATTTTTCATGTAACCTCCTGCAAGTTCGTGTAAAAACCTGTAAGTTCATTGAGTACTGGATCAGAGCTAATACAAGATTGCACAAAGACAAGACGAGGGTAAGAGGAAATGCCGAACAAATGAATTCAGCTTCCCATTTTGCAAACGAAAGATGGTATGTTAAATGTATTCATGACTTTAACGTAAACCTAGCGACAGATGAAGCAGAACGACAGATCATATTCCTAAAAGAAAAACTAAATTTAAGAATATATACAAATAGAAATGCTCAAACTACATGTTCAAAACCAGTAATTTATGCGTTGCTTTCAAGATATTTTAACGACCTTGAGGCACAAGTATATACAAGTATCACGTTTTATCAATCATACCGATAACTTCATGTATTAAAAAAATTAGAAATAAAAATGAATAAAAGAAAAATTAAATCAGCAAAATGAATAAAGTTAAGTGAAATTAATGTTTAACTAGTGCACCCGCATGGCGTCAAAACGCCGACATTTAATTAAATTTTTTAAACAGGTGAAACCCTATTCAAAAACCTCTAAAAATATTCCTAATGATTAATCTAAGCCATTTCTCAGTGATGAGAGGTCTCGCAAGGTGTCGGTTTTCATTTCATCAAATTTCAAATCTCCCTGTAACTTCAAAAAATAAAACCTGTGCACATCTGTATAGAATCCCAGTTCTTTAATTTGAATTCTCATTTTGGAAATTCGAAATAACGGTGCAGATGTGATCACCTTCAAAAAAAATAGATGGCAACTCTAATTAAAAATATTATCAGCCTATAATAGTTTTCTTAAAACTCTTACGTTTGACCCTAATACTTCGATATTTCATATATGTATATTTCGTATAAGTAAACCAAATTCGACTTTTCAAACAGATGGCAACACCTTTAAAAGTATTTTCAAACTAAAATCTTTAGCCTGGCATTGTTATACATATTTCAATTAACTGATGAGTTAAGTTAAATATAATTTTTTAAGCACATGACAACTCTCCTAAATACAGTTTAGAAATAAATTATTTTCCAACCCATTTCGATTAATATCCATCTTTGACAATCCATTTAACTTATTAAATAATTTGACTTAATTTTTTCAGAAAAAAAAAAAAACAAATGTTCAATTTAAAGATTTCTTAACGCTGATGAATTAAGTGGAAATTTATTTTCTAAACACGTGGCGACCCTCCTAAATATAGTTCTTAAATAAAGGATTTTAAACAAATTTTCATTGATAACCATCGGTTAGTAATTCATTTAACTTATTAAATAATTTTAGTTTAGCCCTTTAAACTGGGGCAACCCTCAAACACATCAAAAATGTTCTAAATTGTCAAACTAAGTATCTCTTGAAGCTCTTTCATTTGACGTCCATCGTTAATACTTCATATAAAAATAGTTCAATTAGACTTCTCAAATAGGTGGCAATCCTATTCAAAATATTTTCAAACTACTACCTTCTTAAACCTCTTTTGTATGACACCCATATAGCGATACCTTATTCACTTACCAAACTCCTTTAATTAAAATTGAATTAATCATTTAACAGGTGGCAACTCTTTTCGAAAAAATAAAACCAGTTTGCACATCTACAGGCTAAGCGCTTTAGTTTGACACCCCATTTTTGAAAATCGAACGAACGGTGCAGATCTTTTATGCTGCACAAAAAATGCCTTCGCGTATTGTATATGTAGATTTCTAATCTGACCTACATGTGTATGTATTTAGCTGAATCGCCTAATAATAGGTTTACATATAAAAAGATTATCCTCATTTTCGAGGTTAACTCTCTAATCTGTAATTAGAAAAAGAGATTAGCCATACAAAATTATAATTATAAAATAATCTCAGATTAAACCGATAACTTTTTGGTGTCCAACCTAGTTTTATCGATTATACTTGCGAAGAAGAGGAGCAATGTCAAATGTAAAAGCAAACAAAAATTGACGCTAGCAAGGAAAAGAGGTTTGCAAAGATATTTTTAATAAAATATTAAGTTAATATATATTTAAATAGCATAATATGTGTAGCAGAAAGCAAATAACCAAGGGGGCAAAGAGAAGAAGCTTAACTTTTCCTCGAGTTGTGAGAATAACAAGCATAACCAATTTGATAGCTTACGGGCTTTGATTGAGATTATACATATATGTAAACTTATAGGCTTTGCCGTACGATATGTTTACACATCTAATTTCATGAGTACCTAGTACTCACGCCTTTTTTATATACATAAAAACATCAAATGTGCTATAGTTACTTGTCAAACAAAACCATAGTAAAAATTAACCTTTAATTGTATTCACAACGGTTCTCTAAAGATATTGAACCAAATTTGTTGGTATTTTGTATATGCTTAGACAACGTATAGGAGAACGATTCAGAGCAATTGCCTTTTAAACAGAAACTAGCGGTGCGGAATTGGCCAAGCATTTACTAGCCCGAACCAAATATGCTGTACTTATTGGCAGGAGTGTATTTACTATACGATCAAGTCGCGTGGAGCTCAATACAAACATATATTCATACTTGAAACTCAGTTACTATATAGTTGTTTTGAAATAGTATCCACAAATGGGTAAAAGTAGGAAAGAATTGGAGGCTAAGTTACTGACGACACCTTTTATTATTACACCATGTAAAAAATTATAATCAAAAATACATTGTTTTCTAAAAGACCGAAATACCTTTTATATTTCTAGCTGTTTCTAATCATTGGTACGTGTTAAATTTTTTTTGCAAAATAGGTGCCTGAAGAAAGATAGTTTGAAAAACTGGGCCCGGAAAGCGACATTCGATATCGAACGCAACTCGAGTCGAAATTTGGTTTTTAGATCACGGCGTTCGATGGCTGGTGCTTTTCATCAATTTAAATTGTATTGGGGAGAAAACAGCTGCAATTTTATTTGATTCGATTCGAAACGAGTAATCATTCGATCACGATTGCCGCAATTCGGATCATGCACTCTACAAATTTTCACTCTAAGCTAGCGATATTCAACATTTTCTTAAGAAATACATGCAATTTTTTTTTTTGCTTTTTTTCCTAATGAAAATAAAGTTGTCTTACTCAATTGACTTAACTAAATTTTTTTCAATCCACTGATCAATCTGCTTCTTTAACTCATAGTTGGATTCAAGTTCTTCCCGATTTCCGTACCCGCCTTTGCGAATAAAGCCAGCTGCTCCTTTTTGCAACACTCCAATGTCCGCCATTTTACTGCCATTAACAGCCGCATTCTTCCGGAAATTCTTGATGTCCAAATGTTCTGTAAGATCTTTCAAGCCCACCGTGCTGATTGTAGTATCTAAAAACTCAGCTACTTTCCGAATGACACCACTCAGGTCTGATACCATTTCCTCATAGTTAAGTATAAGTAAATTAGAAAGGTGATTGTGGGCATACGCTTCCTTTAAATGGCTACAGTAAGGCAGCCAGGGATCTGCATTTTCAAACTAGGTAAATAAAGATGTTAATTAGCACATAAAAGAAACTTACTTAAACCACGAGAAAAATAATCCCAATATCGTGTAAAATCACCGACATAGCCTTGCGTGCGGAATAAACGATTTAGATGGTAATAGGAAACCGCTACATCTTTGGGGTTGCGTGCTACATAAACAATCTAAAAGTATATTATTTTTAATAGCTTTTTTTTATTTTACTGTAGTTAAAATATGATCTAGAAGTACCTTGCACTTTTCCTTCAGAACGCTTGGCGGCATCAAAGAAAATGGGAAGTGTGTTTTAATAAAGCGTTTTTTATTAAGCGGCCATGAATTTAAGGTTTCGTATCCTGGGGCGGAAAAATGTTCTATGAAGTCTTGTTGGCCTTTGTCATTAGCATTTTCTGACAGTAACTCCACTTTAATTTCAGGATGTACGAACAAAGAAAACCTGTTGTAATAGTATTAAAAGCAACCATGTACATACAAACATATGTATAAAAGTACTGTCAATGTCATTTTCAAAAATTTAACGCATTGCTGTCATGTCAACTCAAACATAGTGTTATGCCATGCCTAGGGATGGCAGCGATTAATCATTTGACTAAATTAATCGATTATTTTTGTCCAATTCACGATTTAATTGTATCGTAGTTTTGTGTTTCATTAATCGATTATTCATCGATTAGTTTTAAAATAATCGTAAACAGATTTTTAAGAAATATGAATTGTGTAGTTGCCTTAAATTGCAAACAGCCGCAAGAATTGCTCAAGTTCAGAGCATACAATGGTGTAAATAGTTGTGTTTGTAAGCCCATTGTAAAATCTACAAAACTAAAGCCGCTGACAGCTAAAACGCTTGCTTAGTTTTGCATGACAGAATCGCTTTAACAGATCAGATGAAATGTATGAAAATGCACGAAGCATGTCACATACATATGTAGATCGTTTTATCTGCAACGCGAAGCGAAAATATGACCAACTTCCTTCTTTTTGCGCGCCTTGACCATCAGCTAGCTTAATTTGTATTTATTTTCTTTGTGGCATACCTTTTGCGTCTTGCACTTTGCTGGGAAAGTTATAAATGTCACAAAGTTTTATCTGGCATCAGCTTAAAAGTGCCCACACTCACCGACGTAAACGTACTGGGACTTAACCCAGTGGGAAAATGCAGTGTATAGTAATCGAAAAAATAATCAGTAAAACAACCCATTTCACATTCGAAAATGCATTTTTTTCTCAGGCGATGTCCTAAGAAAAGTGGGGCATTCAATTTTGCATTACCTAGTATCGAGAAATGAATGTGTTTTAATAGGAAATTTTTGGAACTTTTTGAATACATTAGAATGCTGATTACATAGTTAGCAGTAATATTATCGAGAACGCATAAGAAATACATTATATTATTTATCACGCATGTAATGCATTACTACTTTTCCGACTGGATATGTAGAATTCTTTTGGGTTTTCATTTTTACGTAAAAATGGTATAGCAGTACAAGTATGCATAACTGGGCTATAAGTGTGGTAACGTTAAAGGCCCTTACACACGCATCGCTTTATCGGCGAACAAGTTGGTTGGTCAAATGATAGAAGTTGGTTGTAAATAAGCCGTATGTAGGCAAGTTGGTCAACCTTGAGGAAACGAAAACTGTTTACCCAAAACTTTACGGACTTTCGAAAAAATACTGTCATTTAGTTGATACCTCGGTGCCTGCTGAGCGCTTTTTTTTTCAAAAGCTGGTGCTACAGCCACCAAGAAACGCAACCGGTTAACAACAAAACGCTTATCAAAACTTTTGTTTTTGCAAAAATGGTTAACTAAGTGAATTAAACATTTTTAATGGAAAAATATTTTTGTGAATACTCACAGTAAGTGTCTTTAAAAATTCGATTAATTGATTATTTCTCAATAATTGCAATTGATTTTTTTGCTTGTAACTTGTTTTTAGAAAAAAGTTGTTGAAAGTGGGTTCGTTAGCTGAGCATTTGTTTACACCACAGAGTACGTTTGCATATAAATATAATCTCAAACAAAGCTCGCTGTTTACACATTTGAAGTTCGTTCCACAAAAAATAATTTTTTCCACAAGAGTTTAACTATAGGGGCATGCTGGTGTAAACTTTTGTTAATTGGGCAACCAAAATCGATAGTTAATCACTTTTTAGTGGTTCACTACGCACTGTGAATTTGGCACTAATAGACGGCATACACGGCGCGTCTGACTCGTGAGTCATTTGTGTACGTGTTGACTCGCCTTTCGACTGCACACGTTCGAGTCATTGAGAGTCATGCCAGAGTCTTTATCGGTGTAAAGAGCAGATATTTTATTTTCACAATCGCATCCCTACCGAGCGCACCGTGCATGCCGTCTATAAGATAACAAAAAATGTACGTACAACTTTTACATTCAAGTAGTATTGACTTACTCAAAAAATGGAAATCTATCTCTGAGCGAAAGTCGGTTAGCTGTTTTAAAATCGAAGTTATTTTCTAACAGCCAAACTAATTCTTGTGTCAATGTAGTGCCTGATCGTGGAAATGATGCTACCCAAATATCACTCGGGCGTGCTTGAAAATTATAAAAATTCTCCGCCTCCACTTTGTACTTATGAGGGAAGAAATACTTTTCAGGACCCACCTGCACAAATCCTGTGCGCTCGCCTACAGTGGTACAATTTGAAGTTTTTATTGCGAAATATGAAAGAGAATTGTTATTAAATAGGTATTTATTAGTTATCAACTGAATATGTATATACCTTTAAAATAACGTAGAAGCTCGGCATTTAACTGAGGTTCAACTTCCTTGATTTCAAATGGAAAGTTGTACATATTTTTTGCGGTCGATCTTCACCAATGACAGGTTAGCAGTGAACTAAAAGCCAAACTAAATAATAATTTTTCTGCTGGCTGTTCGAATTTTCATGAAAAATAACTACATATAGTACGTTTAATTAAACAAGTTCTCGATAGAAAGAACCAAGGCCCAACTTCATATTTATTCAGTTGTTGTTACACATGCCAATGTTTTACTAAAACAGAACACCAGCGAAATTTCAATGTCACTTGCATATGCTAATAAAAATGCTTCGTCTAATAAATTGAAATACGACTTAGAAAATGTTATGCCAGCGAAATACACAATTTTTACAAAAACTACTTTGTGATGTTAGAACCCATCTGGAACTTACCCGTCATCACTGATGTTAATTCTGACTTTGCACTTGAATAGTAAATTCTTCTGTCAAGCGTTATACAAGGTCGGCATTAGAATTGTCAAGTTCAAAAACTAGTTCGTTCAATGAACTAGGTCATTGAATTGATCGAATGAACCAGTTTCGAAATTTAAAATGAACTATTTGCTCCAGGTTGCCGTTTTTCTTAAATTTTACATAAATTAATTTATGTATATGAATTAAGTATAAGAAAGTGCAAAAGACGTCAGCAAAAAGATTTCAAAAATCAACGGTAATGTTTAGCCACTTCAAACGTGCACATTATTATACTGAAATTAAATATGTAGCTTCTAGAAATCTAGGTAAAAATATAAAACTATTGATGATAATTTTTTTTTTTTTTTTTTTGAAGTGAAACTTTTTAACCGAGTTCGAAGATGGTTGTGTGAAATATTTAACATCAAGTTAAAGGGCTCAAATTAAAGGGCTTGTTCTTTGGGTATGTAACATAGCTTTAGTTCCATGAAAGAGGATGCCGCATGTTAGAAAATCGCATTCAAAATTTCTCTGCCGCAGAGGGTTGTGTTAAATATTTAACACCAAGTCATAAAATCTGTATCGTTCGTTCGATTTTCTAACATGAGGTGTGTTCTAAAAATGAGTGGTCAAATGAAGGGGCTTGCCCTTTCGGTATGCATGACAGTTTTAGCTCCATGAAAAGGGGTGTATATTTTCAGAGTTAAAATTGATTCAAAATGAAAAGAGAAATAGAATTTCATTACAAACTGTTGAGAATATGTTGGAGGGTAGTCGTCAGCGGTGCCAGATGTGGGGATTTCGCCCCATTTTGGGGATTTCTGAAACCATTTGGGGATAGTTTTTTTTCGTTTGCGGATGTGGGGATTTGATGGGGATTTTTATTTGATTTAAAATATTCATATTGAAGATAAAATACATATATTTTACTGCCTGCCCTTAAAAATTTATCAAACAAAGATTTTCTTTGTAAAAGCATTATTCGGCGCAAATGTCTGCTTTGATTGGCTTTCGCTGAACAAACAATTTTTCTCACTTCATTACACCAAATTGGTAAAGGATTCCTTTCCTGATTTCCTTGCGCCAACATTGTCGGTTCTTTATTTAGTGTAAAAAGAAATTTAAAAAGTGGCAAGGGCACAAAAAAAAAACATACTAATTTGAGAAATTTACAGACAGCAAATGGGAAGAGGAACCTTGGGCCAAAGGTATGTTATTAAATAGTCTCCAAAAACCATAAGAATTAAGAAACCGCAATACATAAATCACCAAATGATCACATAAATATGTAGTGAAACCCGCTTAATTACCCCCCGCTTAAGTACCTAACCCGGTTAAGTAACCAACATTTTTTGACACCGTGAATTTTTTAATATAATCTGAAGAAAATCCCTCTCTTAAGTACCTCCCCGCTTATTTACCCAACCCGCCTAAGTACCTCAATTTTTCGTGCCCCATTTACAATTTGACTTATAATTTTCCCCTTTTAAGTGCTCTTTTAAAATTCCTTAAAATATTTACGTATTTTGAAATTCAGTAGCAGCGCTACACACCTTCGGTAAAAAAATCTAAAAAATAAACGCTAATTTTTAGCCACTTGAAACTTGCACATTATTACATTAAAATTGAATGGGCTATGAAACTGTGGACTCGAAAACACTTCTAGTAAAAAATGTTTGACATTATGATATATTTTTTTAAGTGTTCTACAAAATCTTAAGCTTGGGTTTATATGGTATTTGTTAGGGAATGAACTGCATTTTAATTGATTGAAAAATCTTAAAAATTAATAAATTTACATAAGTGGCAAACAATATCATTTTGAATTTGGTACAAAATGATAGGTCCAACTTTGACTTTTGAAACAATTTAATTCTTGTAAAAATGACATACCATTGCAGTAAATATTTTTTTTAATAAAGTTATTCTCTACTTTTTTATGTGTTTAAATAATTGTACGATTTAGGTTTTAAACTATGTATACTTCATTAAATGTTGCTATTAAAGTATTTATGTAAGTTAACAAGAAGATGTAACTACATCAGTAATTATGTTCGCTTAAGTTCCCGTATCGAGGTACTTAAGCGGGTTATTTTAAGTACCCAACCCGCCTAAGTACTTCAAAAAGCTGACATTTTTCGTGAGGTACTTAAGCGGGGTTTACTGTACACACATAAATCTGTGAAAATTTGTAACCGAAAAGTATTCAAAACTGTTATTAAATGAACTAACAGAAATAAGAATACATCTTTTTTTATTTCATACTTAAGGGGATTTAAATGGGGGTTTAGAAGACAAATGGGGATTTTTTGGGGATAGCTGAAGCTCGATATGGGGATGTGCTACAAAAAAAATTTGGCATCACTGGTAGTTGTAGTAAAAATAAAGTCGACACTGAAGGCAGTCTCAGCTTTTTGACATAATTTCCAACGAGCTTAACGTGAAATGTATCAAAAATTTGATAATTAACGTGAATGATCGACAGCTCATAGTCTCATAGTCTTAAGTATGTACATAAATATATTTGAATTCAAGTTTCTATAAAATCTATACCAGGGCTGTGCGATTAATTGATTATTTAAAATTTTAATTAATCATAAAAGAAATAACTCAATTATTGGATTAATTGATTAATTGAAAATTACGATTACTCAAAAGTTCAGTTACTCGAGTAATCAAGATTTTGATTAACCAAATATAAAAATATTTGAGTAATTTGCTTTATGATTAATCAACATTTTGAGTAAAATGGGTAATCAACATTTCAAAGTACTCTTTACATATAAAGCAGTTGAAGTTCTTCATACCTTGAAAACAACATTACTGTTTTCAAATATTAAAATTAAATATTTTTTTCATATAAATTGCGTTCCTTATCTCCAGTGTTGCCGCGAAACATTTTTAGCGGTAGCTAAATTTAGGCTAAAAAAGGGCTAAAAAAGAGCTAAAAATCGCCGTTGTGGCTAAAAATGGTAGCTAAATTTGTTTACCTACATATAAATATATTTTCTATAAGTAATGATATAGAAAAACAATGAACTCTGGAAAGAATTAATATTTTATTCAACAAAAAAACTTGTTGTGTAACACATAAAGCATATTAAGGCCCGCCAACTTACCTATTTTAAAGTATAGTTAAATCGTTAATGGATAAGATAACGGCCCAGAAACGTAAAAAACATACATATACATATGTATGTACAGTTTAAAAATTAATTTCTTACATAAACAAAAAAATGAGATCACATTAAGAATACATAAGTACTAGAATCATATCTATATACAGTGTCGGACAATACTAAATAACTTAAATAATTTCAAACTATGCTTCGAAAAATATCCATTTGTAAAAGAAATTTTTAAAATGTTATGTTATAATTTACAAAGAATTAAAATGTCGGTGCTTTATTATTGTCCGACGCTGTATGTATCAAACAAACAAAAGAGTATTCATTTAATGAACTCATAGTAAAATAATTTAATCTATAAAAATTTTTTTTAACACATTAAATATTTATATCTATATCAATACTATCATCGCTAAGCGATTCTTCGTCGTTACAATTTTGTTCATTTCTCATTAACCTGACGATATCATCTGTAAAATCAAAATCATGACAACATTTCTGTACATTTTTTAAGCCATATCTTACAGTTAATAAAGCGTTTAACATTGCAAAATTCATTTTATTTCTGTGCTTATTTATTATAGAAAACATCCTTTCAACTTCTGCCTTACTTAAAGGTAAAAGAAGCAACCGATAAACAAACTTTTTCCACCACTTAAGCTAGCGACACAATGAACAGTTTATTTGCCTTAAAGGAAAGGCGTTCGCTTTATGAGCGAAGAGTTAAATTCATGAAAATCATATAAAAAATTTTAATGTCAATGATGAATAAATTTTGAAAAGGGCTAAAAAAAGGGCTAGGGGCAATTTCAAATTTTTGTGACCAAAAAAAGAATTTGGTAGCCAAATTTAGCCACCAAAGGGCTAAAACGGCAACACTGCTTATCTCCCAGAAATAGTCAGCAAAAGTCCGAAGTAGTCAGATTTAGTCCAAAAAGCGTTCCTTAACTTGAAAGTAACAGCAAAAATGAGAGAGCAACAAACACTCAGTGAGAGTAGTCAGATTTAGCCAGAAGAATTTTTGCAGGCAAAATCTTGAAAAGTGTCAAACTCAACTGAATTTAAATTAACGGAAATTAAAGAATACACAAAAAGTTAGAATAATCTACAAAGTAAAAAAAGTGAATTGAAATTTGAAGGAGGCAAAAAATAATTGATATAGTAAGAGTTTATAGTGCTTGTGCTTGTGTGAATGTGTTTTGTACATACATTTCTATTCTTATTTGACGTTAGTTTTGTTGTTGCCATTCTTTGGACTAAAAATTTGGTTTTTCGCATTCCTTTACTTTTTCCTGTTATTCTCTTTTAGTGAGCTTACGCTCTGGCAATTTGACACTTTTCAGATTTTAGTCCAAAAAGATAAGGAATGTACCTATACAGAATGTAAAAAAGAAAATAAGCATTTTCCAAAGCAAACTCTTTTAACGAACAAAAATTTTTTTTTTAGTAACAGTATTTCAAGTAACTCGATTATTCATCGATTTGAGTAATCAAAATCTTGATTACTC